TCATGATCCCTGTGGAACCTGACAGAGTCTGAACAGTTTCATCAGAATGAGGTGAAGCTGCAGCGTCCAGATGTTCAGACTGATGGAGACCAGCAGCACCATGACGGAGCTGAAGGTCCATCTACTGACTGGAGGAGGAGAACCCTGACTGGAGGAGAACCCTGACTGGAGGAGGAGAACCCTGACGGAACCGCTGGTTTACATCTTATATCTGTTTTCACTTTGACATGAAAGAGTGTTTTTACTGATTGTTGTCATGACGTCAGACTGAATCGATGAAGAGCAACAAAAGGAGGAAACTTCAGGAGAATCAATAGTTTTTGCAGGTTCTGTTCAGATGTGTGATACCGACACTGATGGACGTTTACAACCCAGAAGTTACTCTGGGTCACTCAGAAACATGGACTGAACGGCAGCTGTTGTGTGTGACTCACAGTGACTCATAAACTAAACACCACCTGGTTCTGCTGTGAGGACCATGATGGTGGAACCTCTGGGAAGGAGTGCAGCAGGAGAACACTGGCTGGAGGTGCACAGGAAATACCTGAGCAACAAGTGCAGACCTGAGAGGTGCACTCTGGGAAATGGAGTCCCAAAACACAACCAGATGGCCTCAGCAATCTGTGTGTGTGTGTGTGTGTATACTCACCCGCCCCACTTCCACCAGGTTGGTTACCATAACAATGGCGGCGGTGTTCTCCTGCCAAACCATTCTCCAGAAATCATACACTGTCTCCTGCATGGGCCCTGAAACACACACACACACACACAGAAATGTTTCTAATCACTGTCTGTGTGTTGACGAGCTCATTAGTTCATGATCATCCATTCCTGTTTTACACACACACACACACACACACACAGTAACACACACAGTAAGCTCACAGACCTCAGGCTGTTCAGAGCTCTGAGTTCAGACTGTAACTGAAGGACAGTCAGTTTGTGGCAGGTCAGGGTCTGGGTTATGGTCATGGTCAGGGTCAGGGTTAGGGTCAGGGTTATGGTCATAGTCATGGTCAGGGTCAGGGTCNGTTACTAACAGAGTAACTAGCTACTAACACAGAGTAACTAGATACTAACAGTGTATCTAGATGCGAACACAGAGTAACTAGTTACTAACAGTGTAACTAGCTACTAATACAGTTACTCTCCCGGCTGGGGTCCAGGACTACTTTACCTTCTCCATGGCGAAGGTCCGGATCACGTATTCTGACAGCAGCTGAGTCTCGATCAGCGTCACGTTCATGTCGCCGTAAATGTCGGTGTCGTCCGGCCAGTACTTACAACACTTCACCTGCACACACACACACACACACACACACACTGAGGTCCACGACTGAACACATTAACAGTCGAGATGGAGACTCACTGAAACTAACAAACCATAAACTAACTAAAAACTAACCACAAACTAACCATAGAAACACACACACACACACAGTAGCGTGTTCCTTCAGCAGAAATTAATGAGCTCATTAATTAAACAGAAACCCAAACAGCAGCTGATATTAAAATCTCATTAGAGGCTCCGCCCCCTCCCTCCTCGTTAACAGCTAATTACTGCTCAGCTGAACACAGTGTCACCACGGAAACCAACAAGGCGGGGAGGACGACAACAAGTCATGTTACAGGGACAGTGTGTGTGTGTGTGTGTGTGTGTGTGCACGTGTTTTACAGGTGCTGATAAATGGAGATAATCAGTCATATTTTCCCAGAATCCCCCTGTGCATCTCTCCTGCAGAGGGGGACAGGACCCAGGTGTATTGTGGGTAGTGACAGCAGCTTCCCTGCAGGTTAAATCTCACAATTTCAGCAGGAATCAGCTCTGAGATTTCAGCTGCACTCACACCTGTTCAGCCTGCAGGTCACATGCTGCCTGACAGAGCTCCAGGTTGATCCTCTGGGGAGCAGGACCACCTCACTGACTGGACGGTTGCTCCTTGTAGTGCTTTTCAACTCTGAATCATTAACTATTTAATTGGATTTCTGACAACAATGTACAAAACAACTGTTTTATTGCAGGTGAAAACAGATTCCTACAAAGTCAGTTAGTTAAAAATCTAGAACGTAGAACAGGTGGTTTCATCAGAGTTCTCCTCCTTTAATGTACCTCAGCCAGGTGGTGTAGAAGTCCCACAGTCAGTAAACGCATCATCTGAGGTCAGTGAATG